TGCATGGGAGGAGGGATTTACTTTTTAAGTCCAAAGTGCTGAAACCAGCAGTAGGGCTGGCCGGAACGTGATTGTCCTTCCTTTGTCAGGCTGAAGTTGGAAAACTACACATGCTACCCAAAGCCTTGGTTGTTTCTGAAAACACCCTCTGTAGCTGATGCTCTATAATCTAGAGGCTTTGTGTTGCAGCTAAAACATAGAGCTCAGAAAGATGCCTCCTTTGCCAGGGCGTCGAGCCTGGAGGAATAATTTCCTAAAATCCTGGCAGTCATAAAATATTCAACATCCCTGGGCTGCAAGGCCCCTTCTTTCTTGGCCCCATCCCTCACCAGAAGCCAGAGGGCTTTGCCAGCAGAATGTCCCCGGTAAAACATGGGGAGGTGTGACTCAAGGTCGGTGTCCTGGCTTGTCCTTGTCCTGGAGCACATTGTCGTCCAGGCTGCTGAGGATGCTCCTTTCCTCCTTCTCCATGGAGCTAAGAGCTCCACACAAAACCAACTAGCGTCACTTCTATGGCCATTTCCTCCTGAGGCCTGGTTCAGCCTCTGAATTGTGCTCTCTGTCATTGTGAGCCTGTAGAAGGTCTTAGCACAGTACTCAATGAATGGCACTACAACCTATAAGATAAATATATAGGAGTTCTTTGGGGTTTTTTTCATCTTATTTATTTATTTATTTATTTTTTGGTCTTGTAGCATGTGGGATCTTAGTTCCCTGACCAGAGATTGAACCTGTGCCTCCTGCAGTGGAAGTGCAGAATCCTACCCACTGGATACCCTAGGGAAGTCCTTATATATATATATATATATATATATATATATATATATATATATAGGTGTTTAAATATACCTCATATCCTCACACATTTCTGGAGTATAAGTACTACTATATCCATTTTATAGACTTTGAAAGAGAACCTGAGTGATGAAGTAACTCACCCAAGGCCATACAGCCAAGAAGGATCAGATCTTTGAAGCTCAAGTTAAGAATCTCAAGTGTCCCCTTCAGGCTTGAATTGATGGCCTTAAAAGTAACCACAGTTCAGTTCAGTACAGTCGCTAAGTTGTGTCCAACTCTTTGCAACCCCATGAACCACAGCACACCAGGCCTCCCTGTCCATCACCAACTCCCAGAGTCCACCCAAACCCATGTCCATCAAGTCGGTGATGCCATCCAACCATCTCATCCTCTGTCGTCCCCTTCTCCTCCTGCCCTCAATCTTTCCCAGCATCAGGGTCTTCTCAAATGAGTTAGCTCTTCGAATCAGGTGGCCAAAGTATTGGAGTTTCAGCTTCAACATCAGTCCTTCCAATGAACACCGAGGACTGATCTCCTTTAGGATGGACTGGCTGGATCTCCTTGAAGTCCAAGGGACTCTCAAGAGTCCTCTCCAACACCTCAGTTCAAAAGCATCAATTCTTCGGTGCTCAGCTATCTTTATAGTCCAACTCTCACATCCATACATGACCACTGGAAAAACCATAGCCTTGACTAGACAGACCTTTGTTGGCAAAGTAATGTCTCTGCTTTTTAATATGCTGTCTAGGTTGGTCATAACTTTCCTTCCAAGGAGTAAGCGTCTTTTTTAAGTTCATGGCTGCAATCACCATCTGCAGTGATTTTGGAGCCTGGAAAAATGAAGTCAGCCACTGTTTCCACTGTTTCCCCATCTACTTGCCATGAAGTGATGGGACCAGATGCCATGATCTTAGCTTTCTGAATGTTGAGCTTTAAGCCAACTTTTTCACTTCTCTTTCACTTTCATCAAGAGACTCTTTAGTTCTTCACTTTCTGCCATAAGGGTGATGCCATCTGCATATCTGAGATTATTGATATTTCTCAACAGGACAACATATTGTTGCTGTTCAGTCGCTCAGTCATGTCCAACTCTTTGCAACCCATGGACTGCAGCATGCCAGGTTTCCCTGTCCTTCACTATTTTCATTATATCTACCTATCACCAATGCCTAATAAAAACCTGTAGATGATTTATTTTAAAGATGACTTGTTTTGGCAAGACTCCTTCCTTCCTGCATTTCTTCCTTTTTCCCCGCTGACTTCCAGTCAACCTGCCCTCATTTCCTCAGACTTTATATAGTCTGCCATGGGCCAGGCACCAGGCTATGTCCTGGGCATACAAAGAAGAACAAGACCCAGGCCAGACACCACAAAGTTTAAGTGCTGGAGCAGAAGCCAGACATGAAAGCAGGTTACCAGGATAAGCCCTGTCTCTTGCTTGCTTGTAGAACAGGAGAGAGGGTGCTGTTGCCCCACACAACACACAACATGTTCTGCACTCTGCCTGCATTTGTGAGGGCACTGCTTGTGTTCCATCCAGGCATGAAATGTAAGGTTCTGGTACCTGAACTCCAATTGCCCTTACATCACAGCCACACTCACTCAACTATGCTGATGTAGGTTTAGGTTTTCCTCCGAATAAATCACTTTTTCAAGGTAGAAATAAGAAATGTACATTTGGAACTTAGTGACTATAGATCTTTATTTCCCCGACTCTTAGTTTCTGTATTTTATTTTTAAAAAGGCAAAGGGAGGAAAGATAAACATATGCACTCTAATTACCTGGCAAAGATGTTATCAGATCAAGCACAGTTATAAGGCAGGCATAAGAGTACTAAGCATGATGTAAATGTGAAGGCTTTTTGTATATTCTTAACATGGGGTTTAAAGTTTTGAGTGATGCCATCTACCTGCCTTTATCCCCCGCCAGTGCTCAAACACGTGCTCCCAGTCTCCTGCCATAATTCTATGCTTCTACCTTTGTTGTTGTTTAGTCACTTTTTGTTTCTTTTGCAACCCCATGTACTGTGTAGCCCACCAGGCTCCTCTGTCCATGTGATTTCCCAGGCAAGAATACTGGTGTGGGCTGTCATTTCCTCCTCCAGGGGATCTTCCAGACCCAGGGATCGAACCTGCATCTCCTGTATTGATGGGCAGATTCTTTACCATCTGAGCCACCTGGGATTCTACCTTTAAGCACCCTCAATTCTCTGACTCCTTGCCTTTGCTACCACTCCAGTGGGAATGGCACTGGGAATGGCAACCCACTCCAGTATTCTTGCCTGGGAAATTCCATGCACAGAGCAGTATGGCAGGCTATAATCCATGGGGTTGCAAAAGTCAGACACGACTGAGCAACGAACACTTCAGTTTTACATTTGAATAAAAATGAGTTAGTTTAAAAACAAACATTACATAAATAATTATACAGAATATGGCCAAAAGATGTGATGATGCTACTTCAAGCTGGGGAAACATCAGGACAGAGAAAACACTTCTAGGGAGTGTGAAGGTGAAGATGGGGGTGAAGAGATGCTTGTTCTAAGGATCAGATTTGCTGGGAGCAACCTTAGGAATTAACATAATTATTTACAAAAGAGTGTGACTGTGCAAAAACCTGTGTTTCAAAGGCAGACTGCAACTGAAATGTTTTCTTGTCACTATCATTTTTTCATTGAAATGAAGAAATATGTTCATATCAACTCACACACACACAGCTGTGGACACTGAATTTCAGAATGGCCATGGATTTACACCCTTTCCCAGGACTGTCAGCCACAAAGGACCCAAATGTGGGTTTTCATTTCCTTTTTTCCTGCAAAGCACAACACTTTACAAAAAGAAAAATACTTCAAAGGCAATCCCTTTCTCGCATACATTTCAGGGCTCCATTTGAGATCCACATTTATCTTCCTTATCCAATTACGTGATCAAAGCAGAAGTGTTTGGCCTACTTTGGGGGTTTAAAGACATCCAGGGAAAAACTAGAAACATTTTAAACTACCTTTTTTATGCCACACATTTTCCTGGAGGAGAATTGGAATCCACTCTCCCTGCTCTCTCTTAACTCTCTTAGTCTCCAGACACAAAGAGTCAGGTCAGAGAGTTAAAATACTTTAATCATCCAAGCCATAAAAGATTCAGTTACATCTCTGTAAACACCTGTCTAATCTCAAGTCAGTGTGTCTGGTATCCTGTTTGCTCTCTACAGGGCTACAAAGTTCTTTCCAGAAACCACTGAGAAACTCCTGATTTTGTCTGATTAGTTTTAAAGAACTTGTATTAAAATAAAAACTGCAAAAGAAAAACCCCTGAAAAGGGACTTTATTAGTCTCCCCAACAATGCTGGTTCTAGCACATCTGTCATGTTAATGCTACAAGATGGAGCTCATGTTTCCTAAAATAGGTCACACCTTGTCTTTTACATCAACACTGTAGGATTTGAGGCCCTGGCTGAAAAAAACAGCAAATATGATGTCTTCAAAAATATTTCAGTGAACAAACCACCTATTGGTGGATTGATTTTTCTCTGTGGATATAAATCTGTTGGCAGCCCCCAGAATCAGGGCATAAAAGATGACCTCAGACAGCTGCTGCCATTTGTTTCTGTGGGAAAATGAGGGTTTTGTCTCTCCCCAGAGGTTAATCCTGTGATGCTCTGAATGTCGTCTGGGCTCTGTTTCTGAAGGGTTACACTGGAGAGGAGCAATGCTTTGTGGTTTATGACAAGATCACAGCAGAATATTTTGCGCACGCTGTGATTTGTATCGCCCATTTGTGCACAGGCCATAAAAGTGCACTTTTTATCAGGAACATGTGTGAATATATAACAGCACTGAAGACATATGGCCACTAAATAATTCACAGTTATCTATCTCCTCAGCAGATTCCATATATACCTACCATGTTTTAATGCCTAGTTTGCTCAGAAACAATATTCTTTACGACCCTTCCAATATAAAAATGTTTACTGACTGGCAACAATATATGGATACCAGGGGATTGGGCTATAAGGAAGGGGAAAGCTTTTTGCCTTCTCCGTCTCTCCTTGTCCTCATCCGTTTCCACTGAATGCTTCCCACCAGCACCTAACCTCTTAGGAGAAGGTGTCTTTCCCAAAATTGGGTGCTAAATTCTGACTTCTGGTGTTTGGGCCATGAGATAGGAGTCTCTGACTAACCTTCACCCTCTTCTCTTTTCAGTTCTATATCCATTTACAGTCCCAAGGAGAATCCAAACACATTTGACGCCGCAGCATTTTTCCAGTCCGTGGGGAATTTCCTGGGGATCTTCGCTGGCTCATTTGCCATGGGGTCTGCATATGCTGTTGTCACGGCACTGATATCCTTTGTCTGTGTGTGGGAAGCTGGGGACTGTTAAGAGCAGGCAACATCCTTGGGATGTTTCTGAGGACTAACAAACTCCAGACCAGGAAATAGCTAGATGGTCTTGTTCAAGTGTAGCACCACTACAGCACCACTGGGGCCATTTTGATTCTGAAGCGTAGGCTGATACCAGTGGAAGAGGGAGGAGCCCAGGCTCTTTTCATTCCCAATGCCAGTTCTAGGACTGCTCATATTGTCTGATCCCAGGATATCAACAGTCTTAAAAAATTCTCACCTAAGAATATAGGTGGCCAGGGGGAAATCAGGCTGGCTATATTAAGATCAAGAGGAAGAAGTGAATATCCAGTGTCAAGAATAAAACAGGATTGACTCAAGAGTGACATACTAAGTATTCTCTGCACCCTTTTTAAACTCATAGCAATCACTAGTTCAGAGGGTTGGCTAAGACAAGAATCACTGTGGGTTTAAATGAGCATCCATAGCTACTTTATGGAAGAAGAACAGCAAGCAACTTAGAAATGATGCTTGCCATATCCAGGCAATTGTATCATCCTACTCCCTATTTTTCAGTAGAGAGGTGGGAGGATGAGCAGAGTTCCTAGAGAACTTGAGTCAAGGAAAGAAGCTTGTCTGGAGGTCTCCTCACTCACAGCAGTTATATGGGACAAAAATGTCAGATTCTAGGAGGAACCAGAAGGCTAATGTCAAGTATGTGGGCTTAACAGAGTCCAGAGAGAGGAGGCAGGGCAAAGGATTAGAGATCTTGGGGGAAAAGGGAAGGACTAAAGGAGAATGGTGGAAGAGGGGTCAGGAATCAAGGCAAAGAAAGCAAAATGTTAGACTCTTTTTCCATGAGGACTGACCCAACAGTTCACTGAGCAACTGCTAAAAGGCTAGGTTCTACTAAAGCTTTCTCAGATAAGTCAGAAGATGAATAAAACATGGACCCTGCCTCCAACTAATGACAGGCTTGGAAAGACAAGCTCTACAGAAAGAGTTGTATAGGAAGTAAGTGCTAAAGCTGCAGCCACCTTATTAAGGTTATAAAAATATAAGGATGAGGCCACCATGTCTGGAAAAGTCCAACAGACTCTTGGCCAATCTGATGATTCTGGAAAATAACCTGAAAAGCAGTATTTACATGCAGTGTGGGACTTAAGCTTGACCTGAAAGATAGGTAAGATGCAGGCAAAGACCATATAGGTGATTCACAAGAAGATCAGCATTCACAAAGGTCAGGAGTGGGGGTTGGGGGACACTGACATGGCCTAGAGCAGTTGTCCCAGAGAGGACCTTAGAGCTTGGGCTGGTGAGCAATGCAAAATGAGCAGACACAAGTGCAAAGGAGTCAGCTTGTGGAGTACCTTGGAGTGCCACTCAAAGGAGCCTGAGCATCTCTCTATAGTCCACAATATGTGACTGAAGTTTTCTCCAAGGATCATGACACACTGAAGGTCTTGTGTTTAGAACATAAACGAGGAACTGGTATGAAGGATGAATGATAAGAGGAAGATTGAAATCAAAGAAGACTGTGATAATGAGCTGTAGGAGAAAGCCAGAAAGAAGGTCAATGTAGAAGACCCTCTAGGACTCAGTGATTGGTTGGTTCTATGAGATAAATAAGAGGAGAAAATCAAAAGACCACCCCAAAGTTTTGTCCTGGAACCCTGGAGAATGTCAACTCCATTGACAAAAATAAGTCAGAATAGGTAGGGTTGATTTCCAACAAAAAAGTAATGGTTAACAATGTACCCAGTACTGGTGATACATCAGGCTCCCTACTACTTGTTTTACATGTAATACCTCATTTAATCTTCACAATGGTCATATCACACAGATGCTATTTTTCCTGGAAAAAAAAGGAAAGCTTAGAAAGCATAAGCCCAAGGTCATGCAACTAGGAAGTAAGCCAAGGTCAAACCCAGGGAATGAAACCAAGAGACAAACCGCACCCAGACCACACTCTTGATCACTGCTCCCCTTTTGTTTGCCTCTTAATTATTAAAGGGAATTACAATGGAGGTCACATGTTGTTTGGTGTAGGGAAATAGTAATGATGATAGTAATGATAATGAGGAACTAAAGAGCCTCTTGATGAACATGAGAGGAGAGTGAAAAAGCTGGCTTAAAACTCAGCATTCAAAAAACAAAGATCATGGCATCCAGTCCCATCACTACATGGCAAATAGATGGGAAAACTGGAAACAGTGACAGACTTTATTTTCAGGGACTCCAAAATCACTGCAGATGGTGACTGCAGCCATGAAATTAAAAGACGCTTGCTTGCTCCTTGGAAGAAAAGCTATGACCAACCTAAACAGCAAAAAAGGAGACATTACTTTGCCAACAAAATCCATCTAGTCAAAGCTATGGTTTTTCCAGTAGTCATGATGGATGTGAGAGCTGGACCATAAAGTAGGCTGAGTGCCAAAGAACTGATGCTTTTGAACTGTGATGTTGGAGAAGACTCTTGAGAGTCCCTTGGACTGCAAGGAGATCAAACCAGTCAATCCTAAAGGAAATCAGTCCTGAATATTCATTGGAAGAACTGATGCTGAAGTTGAAGCTCCAATACTTTGCCACCTCATGCAAAGAACTGACTCATTGGAAAAGACCCTGATGCTGGGAAAGATTGAAGGCAGGAGAAGAAGGGGATGAAAGGATGAGATGGTTGGATGGCATCACCGACTTGGTGCACATTAGTTTGAGCAAGCACTAGGAGTTGGTGATGGACAGGGAAGCCGGGTGGGCTGCAGTCCATGGGGTCGCAAAGGGTCGGACATGACTGAGCGACTGAACTGAACTGAATAATAGTGAGATAGTTAGGTAGCATCACCAACTCAATGGACATGAGTCTGAGCAAACTTCAGGTGATAGTAAAGGACAGGGAAGCTTGGCATGCTGCAGTCCATGAGGTTGCAGGGAGTGAGACAAAACTTAGTGAATGAACAATAGCAATGATCACAACATTTTTGAATGTCTAGCATGTGTCTTTATATATATCTCCTCATTTGAATTTACCCTATAAGACCAATTATTATTATTTCTGCTTTATACATAAGGAGATTAAGTATTCATAGCTCACTCTGAGTCACATGTCAGTCATAATGGGCATGATATTAATATCATCTTATATATGTTGAGAACCTTCCCAAGTGCCACCCATTATCTTTTATATTTTACATAGATTATCTCAGAGAGTTTTTATAAGAATCCTGGCAAGGAGATACTATTATTCTCTCAATTTTCAGCTGAATAAACTGACACATAATTTTAGACAACTTGTCCAAGGCCACACAGCTAGGACATTTTAGGGCCAGGACTTAAACCCAGGTTTTCATCCCCAGGGATGGCATGAAGTAGAAGAGCTGAGATTGGAACTTTTCTCTGCCTGATGTGCAGGAAATGTATGAACACATAAGTGAACAGATTTTGATAAGAGAAGGGAAAAAATTCCTGGAGACTTGAAGTCTGCCCTGACATTGGATCAGATCTGGGGAAAGGGGTACTCCTGATAAAGAATTGCTTCCACATCCTTACTGACTCTCTTTCCAGAAAAGAGGTTTCACAAAACAGATTCACTTAAATTACACTAATTGAAAAACTTACACATCCTTTGTCACATTCCAGGCACTCTGCTATATACCTAGAAGGTAGGTTGCACAATTTATGCCCATTTTCAGACATGAGAACCAAAGCACAGTGTGGCCAAGGTACACATCTAAGCTGATATACAATGAATATGAGCCCAGGTAGAGTTGCCTTCTAGAGGTCATGCTCCCAACCACAATATAATCCTTGGTATTGTGTGCTTTCTAAGACTTTACAAAACATTTTTAATATTGTCATCTCATGTTACTCTTCACACTGTGGGGATAGGTATTATTCTTATGCCAGTTCACCTTGGATATAAATAAGGCTCAGAGAGGTTATCATAGTGCTCAGAAATCACACAGCCAGTGACTGGCAAAGCCAGGACTCAAACCCAGATCTTGCACTCCAGAGGTCATGCTTTTTGCTTCCCTGCCTGGCTCCTAAACATCTCTTAAGGTGGAATCTCCCTTAGATTTTTTTTTCCAGAAACATAAAATTGCAATGTAACATTTCCATGTCTGTCAGGGCATTTTCTGCCTAATGGTGGATACAACTGCAGTTGTAGCCCTTTCCCGTCCATCGCATACTCCTAATCATCTCCCCAAAGCCCATTCTCTGCATGGCTCAAATCACTGTGCCTTTGTTCTATTTGCAATTTATAGATGATTAGCCAAGTGTCATCCTGGCCAAAATGAACAACTGCCTGCCAAAGGGCATCTTTCTTGACTTAGAAATAATACACATTTTCCTCCATCCTACTTATGCAAAGAGAGGCTGGGCAGCTTCCCCATCACTGAACAAAAATGCTCCTCCTGATCCAGTTTCCATCCCTAAGAGAAAAGGCTTTTCAAGGTGATCTGTCCATAGACCAGCATTCCCTGGGGAGCAGTGGCCTGGGAGGCCACTCCTGGGAGTGTGGACTGGCTGGGCAGACACACTCTCCTTGACTTTATTTTCCCAGGTCTGCCACCTCCTGAAGGGCACACCCAAAGGGTTGAGGCCAAATTTAAGGGGTTTTATGTGTCTCCTTAGCTGACTTCATCCTCTTAGTAAGACATCTTATTTATTTATATATTTATTGGAAAAAGACATCTTTTTTAATCTCAAGACCACTTTGCATTTTTACAGCCGTGTTCAGCCCCCAATGAAGCGTGATTCATGCCGGCCTTCAAAGGGAGTCTCAGCAAGAGAAACAGGTCTGAGAATCGGTTCTCTCCTCTAAAACTATCACCACCAGAGGAGTTTTTCTCAGCCAAGAGGGAGATTTATTCATAAAAGCAATTGTTGTTTCCCTTAACTCCTCTTTGTCACTTGACCAAATTTACCAAACTGTGCGAGTTCCCTATGCTGGAAACGGGCCTGTTTTTCCTCCTGTCTTGGAGCGCCTTTCTGTCTGCTGAGGCCGCTGGCCTAACAGGTCAGTGCTTCGTCCTGAGCAGCCCACTGGATGTGTGAATACCTGTGTTTCCCGCCCCTCACCAAGTCCCCCTCCCTGACCCTGCAGGAGTGAAATGGATTGTGTCAGAATCAGCCTCTCCTGGGTACCCTGGGGAGAAAAAAAAAAAATGCATCCATTATATGACAGCTTAATTGGAAGTTTCCAAAGTGTTGATTCCTCTTCTCTCCTTACTGGTCAGGAAGGGGACGTTGAAATCTACGAATGACCTATGTACTGATGGATGATGGCTTTACACGTAGGGAGTCTCGGCGCAGAGTGTGAAGGGATGCACGGCAGCTTTGTGGGAATGAATGCTGGCTTTCCATTGGCTATTAGCAGCGACGCCCACGTAGGCGGTCTCTCCGGGTGTGCGCCTGGCCATATCCAACTGTGTTTAAAAATCTTTGCCTACATTCGGTGGCAAACCAGAAAACAGGCGGGTAACGCGGTGGTTTCGGTTCAGTGTCTCTTACCGTAGAAGGTCTCTATGTACAGTCCTCTGAGATGGTACGATTGATGGAGAAAGAGGCAGTCCCTAGGGTCCCCTGGGGGGAGTGGGGAAGAAGGGAGGCCCACAGCTGGCATCCCGTATCTGAATTCTGCAATTAGATTGCCTTTCTGCAATAGCAAGGGTTTACGCTTGGGTAGCTGCAATGATTGGGTGCTTTTCCGTGTAGAAGAATCACCATGGCTCTGAGCAAAATGTCAGAGCTGTTTCTTTCCTTTGACCTAGTTCTCTCCTTCTCCCGGGTTTGAGTCCTGGATCCCTTGCTGTTTGCTACATCTTAATTGAATTTCAGGTGGTGAGACCCCACCCCCCGAAAATGCTAACTGGGAATAAGGTATGCCTCCAGGGGTTCTCGCATTTTAATAAGTGGTACTTTAAGTGTAAATAATAATAAAAGTTGATATAGAGAAAGCTTACAATGAGCCAGGTGCTGGCTAACAGCTTTTCATGGATGTTCGCGTTAATTTACAGAAAACCCCAACATTAAGGACTATAAGCTGTTTACTTGGCCAAGAGCCACTGGAGGAGCTGGAATTTCAGACTAGAAGATCTAATTCCAGAGCCTGGGCTCATGGGCACCAAGCACTGCTACCTTGAATGAAATTCTATCTTTGGACTATGAGGCAGGCTTCCAAGAGTAGGAAGATAGTTGGGGTCCCAGGGGCCTGTCTGGTCCCCTTGCTTCTGGGCTGGTTGGGCTCTCCTGTGAAAGCCATGGCAGATCTTTTTTGCTAAGGATAATCTGTTGCCCCAGGTATCTGACCCATCTTACTTATAGCCACAGGGAACCAGGCTGTTTCCACAAGCTTTGAGAGTGTCTGTTGCTGATACAAACAGCCACCTGCCAGCTTTTATGACACTATAATCAAGACTACATTACCAGAGTCCAGCCTACCAGGCCCTGTATCATTCCAAACCATTCTAACACAACATCCATTGTATTGGAGCCTTGCCTTGTTATTAGAAAGGTTGCTAAAGAGCTTATGCATTGCAAAGAAAATGGATACTTAGTGTCTCTTAAATGAAATAAAGGAGTAGTTTACATAGGTCATTCAAAAAGTTGTTGTTCCCTTTCCTCCACATTCTATGCCCTTTTCACCACTTAACATGGTGTAAAATAATGCAAGCAATGTTAACAATAAGAATACATATTTGACCTTCTGAAAAGGTAAAGTATCTTAACTCACCAGATATTTTTTAGTCTACAGTTTAACATTGTAGTAGAACACACAAACATATACACACATATCCCGATGCCTAAGATCATTTCTGTGTGTGAAAATCGTCTTACTATTTCCTGATCCAATTCAGCAAGATCATGTTTTCTTAACTCATTTTAAGGTTATGGTCCATGTATAAATTATTGGTTTATCTGCGCCTTGCTCTTTTGCTACACTTTGGACCTGATATCCTTATTGGATACCATGCAGACCTCCTCTAAAGAGCCAGTGTCATGAGTTGAGTGGATGCATGTGTGGGCTTTAGTAGCAGAAAGACCCAAATGCCCAGGCTATATCCAGGGGAGCACTTAACCAGAACAGAACTTCAGGCTAAGCAACAAGTTGGACAAGGGTTTGATACAAATCAAACTTTTTTAAGTGTGAGCATTTGTACTGCTAAAGGCCAAGCCTGCTTAGTCCATATTACTTATGTGTTTGTTTATTATTTGATCCCTGCGTATTTCTAAATTGGCTTTGAGGCAACTCATAACATGAGCCATGCATATCATGGGACCATTTAGTTGAGGCTAGACACTCAAGTGTTTTGGGATAGAGTCGTTCTGCAAAGGTTCATTGCTGTTCATTGCTGAGGTTTGGCAATAAATATGGCTCTGAGCTTTCTGGCAGCCAAAGCCAAAAGAGAAACATGAGTTGTGCAGGAATAACACAGTATTATAAAATGAAGTCACAATTATTTATAAAAATGGGTATGATTTTTTTCCTAAAATTTTAGGTGTATTTATCACACACAGCTTTATATGAGGGCCTATGAGCACCATAACAGACAGTGTATTGTTTTAGGAAAGATGGAGATCCATTCTTTATGCAGTCATTTCTCATATCAACCTTCAATAAAATCTGACAGTGTGGTATTAAATTACAATTCCCTAGGGATATTTCATGTAATAAGAAAACACTTTCAGTTCTAATCCACAAGTAAACTAATATAATACAAAGCTGAAAATATAGAAAAATTTTCAAAAAGTGCTTAATGAATAAACATGATGATGAATATAGTGAATGAAATGAAATAAGGTATAAAGAGTTTATGAGTAACTATAGTAGTAACCAACCATCCTGGGGCTGTGTATGGGTTCACTAAGAATACCTCATGTATGTCCTTGAAATGGTGCTCAATAGTTTCTCAGCAGAATTCCCCCAGCCCTGACATGGCTAGGTGGGGGCTAGAGGATGCCTACCAAGTGAGCACCCCCACCCCTTTCATTGGGTCCACAGATTTAGTTTTCGTATAAGATTTCATTTGGGGGAGAAAAGGATTTCTGTTGCTTTAAACAGAATAATATTAAAAATTTTTTTTTTCTTACTACTAAGGTAAGGCATTTTCCTTGTAGAAAATTTGGAAAATGTAGATTTACTGAAGGAAATAAAATTAAAGTTACCTGTATTCTCACTGCCTATTAATTACTATTGTTAGTATCTGTCTGAATTTATCTAATTATATGCAAATATTAGTATATATACACAATTAAATATATGCAAGGGCTCCCCTGGTGGCTCAGTGATAAAGAATCTACCTGCCAATGCAGGAGACATGGGTTCCATCCCTGGGTCAGGAAGAGCCACTGGAAAAGGAAATAGCAACCCACTCCAGTATTCTTGCCTGGGAAATCCCATGGACAGAGGAACCTAGTGGGCTAGAGTCCCTGGAGTCACAAAGACTTGTACACAACTCAGCATGCACACAATATATGTATGTAAATATATTTTTATTTTTAAAAAATGATTTTTTTCACTTGACAATTTTATAGTGAATATTTTAATGATATTAAATATTCTTCTATATTATTTTTTATGGCTGCCTAGTATTACACTGAAAGTGTTAGTCACTCAGTTGTATCTGACTCTTTACAACCCCATGCACTGTACACCATCAGGCTCCTCAGTCCATGGAATTCTCCAGACAAAAATACTGGAGTAGGTAGCCATTCTCTTTTCCAGGGGATCTTTTCAAACTTAAACCTGGGTCTCCTGCATTGCAGGCAGATTTTTTACCTTCTGACCCACCATGGAAGCCCCACTATAACATATTAACTTGCTATAATTTATTATATCAACCTTTTGATCATTTATAGTTTTCAACATTATTAATATGATTGCTGTGATAATCCTTTTAGCTTGATATATAAACTTCTATTTATATAACTACCTAAAAATAAAATTCCTGGGTTAATGAAAATGATAAAATTTTAATGTCTTAGAAAAATACATCCAAGTTATCCTCCAGAAAATTTTTATTCCTTTATACTTCCACCAACAATGTAAGAGAGAGATCATTCACTCACATCTTCACCCCCTGAACTCATATTCCCTCCTGCTAATTTGATAATCAACCTCCATTTCATTCTGATTTAAATTGATATATTTTTACTGAGGAAATGATTTTAATTATATGTCATCATTGGCAATTTATATTCCTCCCTTGGTGAACTACCTGTTTATGCCCTTTGTCCTTTTTTTTCTACTGAAGTGTTTATCTTTGTCACATTAAATTTTAGAAGCTCTTTATTTATTCAAAAATATTAACTGTTGACTATGATGTAGGCTACAAATGCTCTCCTTTCATGGTTTTGTCTTTTAAATATATTGTATTTTGTTTGTTTACATAAGGGAATAGTTTGGTTTAGACATTTTCAAGGTTCATGTTTTTCTCTTCCTTAGAAAGTTCCAAGTTTTATTAACTTCTGCTCTTTATTGTTGTTTAGTCACTCAGTCGTGTCTGACTCTTTTGCAACCCCATGGACTGTAGCCCTCCAGGCTCCTCTGTCCATGAAATTCTCCAGGCAAGAATACTGGAGTGGGTTGCCATTTACTTCTCCAGGTGATCTTCCTGACCCAGGGACTGAACCTGCATCTCCTACGTTGGCAGGCAGATTCTGTACCACTAAGCCACCAGGGAAGTAATTTCTGCCTAAAAAGTCCAATATTATTAATAATAATTTTACTTTATTTTAATATGTGTCTGGTTTTTTTTTACATTAGAATCCAAACTGAAATTTGTTTTGATGTGAGGGATATGAGGTGTGAGATATAGCAAGGATTTAATTTTCCTCCTAGATTGTTCACTCATCCTAATACCTTTCAACCTTAACCTATGAATTTTTAACATAATGTCCATGTATGTAGGTACATATATGTTTATATATGTTCTGGTTTTCTGTTGTTCCACTGAGCTTTTAGTCTTCACTGCTTTCATCATTTCAGCTCTATGGTTCATTTTAATGGCTAATAGA